CCTTAGCTGACCTGGAGTGATGTCTGAGTCGGTGAACTCTCTGAGGATTTTCCTCCTTCCTCCCTGCTGCTCCTTTTCTCTCTCTCTTTCTCTGACTTTTCACCTTCCCAACTGCTCATGTTAGGAGTCAATTTTTGGCCTCTTCTCTCTGTGCCTGTCCCCCAGATGACCTCAGCAGCTAACCACTCTCAAATTAGTACCTCCACTCAGACCCCTCCCATGAACTCAGAGCTGTGTCTCTGACTGTTTCTCTATTCTCGAATTCAGTGTGACCACAAGGGCTCTTAACTTCCCCTGCAGGCCTTCTCCCAGCTGTCCCTGTTCCCGGGGCTTATGCCCTCATCTGTCCAACTGCTTGGCCAAAAAAACTTTGCAGACCTCTTGGCTTCTCTTTTTCTCACACTTTCATCTTATCCACTGGTAGATCCTGTTGGTTCCACGTTCACAATATTTTCCATAATCTGACTGGTTTCCTCACCTCCATGGATGGCAGTCCATCATTTCCTATTCTAAGAGCCTCCACCCTCATCCCTGGAGTATTCATACCCAGGAGACCATGTTACATATAAGTCAGACCATTTTCTATCTCTGCAGGAACCCTTTATGGCTCCCATCTCCCTCCACTTCTCCTAACACTCTTCTCTCCCTTGTAGACATACTTCTTCCCAACTGGCCCTCGAACCTGCCTGGCAGACGCCCTGCTCATGGCCCTGGTATTGGCTGTCCCCTCTGCCTGGAATATGCTGGGCTCATTCTGTCACCTCTTCAAATGCTTCTTCAAATGTCCTTTGCTCTGAGGATCCTCCGCTGGCCTACTCAAAATGGCACACCCCCCACTTGCTGTCCCTCAGCATTCCTTTTCTTAACCCGCCTTTGTTTTTTCTACTACACTCATGACCACGTTCCTATTATGTTTGCTTATTTATCTGTTGGACCTCCTCCACGTAGTGTCATAATGTCAGGGATTTCTGTCTGCCTTGTTCACCATGTATCCCTGGTGTCAAGTACAGTGCTTGTTGGCACATGGCAGGCACTTGATCAATCATTGTTGAGTGAATGGATGCATAGACAGGTGGACATCAACTGCATACTATTCTCTGGGTAGTGAGCACCTTGAGGGCAGTGCTGGCTGCACTCAGCCACCATCCTAGGAGTATACTTTAGCCTCTGATGGCCTTGCTTTCCCCACAGACATCAATGAATGTGTGACAGACCAACACACGTGCAGCCGGGGTGAGCACTGTGTGAACACGGTGGGCTCCTTTCGTTGCTACAAGGCTCTCACCTGCCAGCCAGGCTACATCCTCAAGGATGATGAGTGCACAGGTGAGCACAGTGGTCTGCAAGTCCCACCCCTGATCTGCCCCGCTCCACCCCCTGCCCTGTCCCACCTCCTGACCCATCCCCTGGCTTGCCCAGAGCCAAGAGCTCCCAACCTTTGGGTTTCTTGTCTGTAAGAGGACCCCATAGATGATGGTATTTGGGGCAGAGGGGTTGTTTGAGGCTACTGGGGGAGGCTAGGGTATGCTCCTGGCTTTGCTACCTTTTCTGGTATCTGGGTGCTACTTACTCCCCTCACCATGCCTCAGGTCTTCTGTTTATATGTTGGGATGGAGGCCCATGGATCACTTCTGTCCCTTTCACTGGAAAATTCTAGTCTCTTAGGAAGAGGGGGAATTTTCATAGAATCATTTTAACAGATATTTCTGAGCTTCGTGTCCTTGTCTCTGACCTCCTGACGAGGGACATGGGGCCACACAGGTAAACAGGAAGGTGGCAGAATGGCTTTGGCCTGGATGTTACATTGGGGTCCAAAGGGGCTCTCTGTGGAGGTGATGCTGGAGTGGATACCTACATAATGAGAAGTTCCTGGCAAGGGTGTTCTAGGGAGAGGGAACAGCAGCTATGCGGCCTTTTGAGAGGGGAGAGATCTTGGCATGTTCAAAGAACAGAAAGAGAGTCTCTGATTGGGGCAAACATGCCTACAGCTTGGAAGAAGGGTATAGGCTTGGTAGGCCTGATTAAGGAAGGAGTTTATGGTTAATTTCACATGTGATAGGATAACTAAAAATGACCAGAAGAATGTCACCAAGGACAGAAGACCTATTGAAGTGTTCGTGTGTTATAAGCCCTGGAGAATGCTGATGAGAAGTAGCCCTGAGGTTGGGTATGAGCTCAGGGAAGTGGATTAACACACTCCCTGGACACGGAGTTGGGGGTGGGATGAGCTAAGAAGAGAGATGAGCCCAGCACCCTTTTCACAAGTGTGTGCACACCCACAAACAAGGGCATACACAGATCCATGGCCAGCCCTCCTCCAAAAACCCAGACACCTGGCGAGGGATGCCACCTCCTTGGACATGCCCTAGCACTCCCTGACTCTCTCTGTTAGGGCACTGGGCTCCTTAGAGTGGATGTGGAGAAGCCTGTTCAAGCACTGGACGGTCATCAGATGGGCTGTGCCACTTCATGTCTAGCTCCCAGAGGGTAGGCTACTGTGGGAAACTGGTGGAAGCTTTGGAAACCAGAGAGGGAATGAATGGAGGGAAGGACAATGGACAGACTACAGACAGACACAGAGGTGTTGGTCTGTCAGTTAGCAAAGCCAAGTGAGTTTTGGCCTGCCAGCCTGTTTCCTGGTCTGTAAAAAAGACCAGATGTGCCTGCTAAGCAAGAAGTATGGGGGGAAGCAGAGGGCCGGTGCTTTGTAAGCTGTGAAATACTGCACAGAGGTGAATGCCACACAGTAGGTGGAGGCAGCAGTTCTATCCAACTCTGGCACTCCATCCTCAGAAGCTCCAAGCCTTGCTGCTGCCAACCGCACGTTCAGAGAAACCTGGAGACGTGACTGTAGGGATTTGAGCATGTGTCCTCATTTCTGGCTGCCCAAGGAAGTTTGGGGCAATGGTTAAGAGTACAGGCCTCAGAACAGGTTCCCCTGGGTTCTGGTCCTAGCCCAACTCCCCTTAGCTGTCTAACTGTGTCTGTGCTTTGGTTTCCCCTGTGTAAGATGCGGCTTGTCATAGTCCCTACTTTGTAGGGTTGTTTGTTGTGAGCATCGAGTAGATAAATACCTCTCAGAGTGCTGACTCAGTAAATGTGGTGATGTTTTTATTTTATTATTGGATGTGGACAGTATGTTGCTCTGCCTGCTTTCTATGATCTAGAAAACCTTTGTAACCATCAAGGTCATGGCAAGGATGTGCGGGCAAGGGCCCGCCAGCCTGCCAGTCCCTGACTCCATGCCTCTGTGTGCCAGATGTGGACGAGTGTGAACTGGGCACACATAACTGCCAGGCAGGCTTCACATGCCAGAATACCAAGGGCTCCTTCTACTGCCAGGCACGGCAGCGCTGCATGGAGGGCTTTCTGCAGGACCCCGAGGGCAACTGTGTAGGTGAGTGGTGGGGGCCGCCTTCCCCAGGTGCCTTTGGAAGGGGTCATGGCTGGGGGACTCTGAGGGTTTAGAGATCAGGCAGGCCTGGCTTACTGCTTTCACTCTCTCCCAGCCTAAGTGTCCTTACCTGTGAATGGACATGTCAGTGCCTGGTGCCAGGAGGCACTTGCAAAACAGAAGCTCTTATTATCCTGAGATGTCTGACCTTGGTGTGTGTGTGTACTATAAGTTTCACAGAACATTACCCTACTGCATGTGATACTGACTGAAATTTCTATTTGCAGAGAATGCTAGTGAGACCTTCAAGGTGTGTGTGTACTACAAGTTTCACAGAACATTACCCTACTGCATGTGATACTCACTGAAATTTCTACTTGCAGAGAATGCTAGTAAGACCTTCAAGGTTGATTTTATGCTGTACTCATGGGTCGAGACCCACAGTTTGATAGATGCTTGCCTTGTTGTCCCCACATGGTTCTGATGAGATCTTGTACTCTTCCCACCACTCTTGAGCTGCTTCCAAAAAGCACCTGGCCCACAGCCAGGAGGCTCCACCTTCCCCAAGGCTGTGACCTGGCAAGCCCATGGTGTAGCACCAGCGCCTCTGACAGCATCCTGAGGATAGGCCTTATCTAGGCCACACTCAACCCTGGGAGGGATGAAAGACACAGAGGAAGAGGTGGAAAGGCAAGCATTATGCAAGGCCAGCCACTGGGTGCAGACAGAAACAAGGGATGTGTTAGGACACAATTTTTGTCACATATCCTTTCCTAAGAAGAACAGCTCGTGGGGTGGGCGTCCCTCTCTTACTGGGAGGACACAGGGACAGAGAGGGGCCTTAAATTCATCTGAAGGCTTTCACAAGACTCTTTGGGGTCCCTCTAGCCAGTCTTAGATCTGAAGCTCTCCCTAAGACACCCCATTTACAATTGCACTCCAACAGTGACAGGACATGGGCAACCTCTCAGGACACCACAGGGCTGTGGGCACAAGAAGGTCCCTGTGCTCTGCCCCGGGATACCCAGTGAGGGTCAGGGCAAGGTGGGGAGGGATCTGCCTGATGACAAACAGTTCTTCAGTGGTTCATTCACCGACAGCACTTCCTGAGTACCTGCTGTGCGCCATGGTTGTAGAGTCAATGGGCTGCAGCAGTTTAATGAGACATCTTGGAAGGGAGAGAGTAAATAAGCAAACATTTATATAAATGGCAGTTATTCAAGGGTACTTTGATAAATAATAAGGGTAGAATAAGGATGAAAGCTTAAAGGGTGGGTGGCATCTCTACCTAGAATGATCAGGGGATCAGGGAGGGCCTCCCTGAGGAGGTGAGATTGGTGCAGGGACCTGAGGAAGTAAAAGAGCCAGCCATGAAAATATTAGGGGTAGTGTGTTCCAGAGATGGGAGGACAGCATGTGTAAAGGCCCTGCGTGGGGCTGTGCCCAGGTGTGGTGGGTTGATGGAATAGGCCAGTGGGCCTGGGGTGCAGTGTGTGAGAGAGTGATAGAGGGTGAGGTTGACAGGCTGGCAGTTTTGGAGAAGCCAGAATAAGGGCATGACTTTCTGTAGTTATCCTAGTCGTCAGCCTTGATTTCTCCTCTGCCTCTAGCTGCTCCATTAGGGAGCAGCTGGTAGGTACTTGGGTTTTGGGAATTGAAGCCCCTCATGCCATGGGACTCGAGTGGGACAATATGACCCGCAGCCTTAACCTTTATTGGTTTGGAGCCCAGGACTTGCTGCCCCCCAGTTTGGCCCTGGACCCAAATTCTAGGGCCTGGAGGGGTGCTGTGCCAGGCTCCCTGCCACCCACACCCACCTCTATAGATATCAATGAGTGTACGTCGCTGTCTGAGCCATGTCGGCCTGGCTTCAGCTGCATCAACACAGTGGGCTCCTACACGTGCCAGAGGAACGCACTGCTCTGCGGGCGAGGCTACCACGCCAGCCAGGATGGGACTATGTGTGTGGGTAAGGCCAGCAGGCTCCCCATCCCCTGGCCATCCTTGGCTTTCCTGGGTTTCTGGCCTGTGGGACGCTCATGCAGAGGGAGAGCTCAGTCCTCAGGGTGTCCTGGTCACCTTCCCTTGGCAGATGTGAATGAATGCGAGGCAGGCGTGCACCACTGTAGGGAGGGCCAAGTGTGCCACAACCTCCCTGGCTCCTACCGCTGTGACTGTAAAGCCGGCTTT